CTGCAATATACTGTATTCATTTAAAGAAATGGCCAGTTATAGAAAATGCGCTACAGTCTAGTGAAAGAAGCAACCGTGACGTTTGCGCCTGTGTTTTACGACCTGAATTCTCACTAACGTCGTCAATGACTTTAACATTGCTTGTTCATGATCTGTATCCCTTTCACACTGAAGTAGAAAATACGAAAGCTCCATGTAGCAAGCGAGTACTGTCGATGCTAGAATAGGTGGGTCTGGCACTATCAGCTTTAAGTTGTAAGCGCTTTGGCGGGAAATCGTTGCCTGTTTTAAATTTGTGCTGCTACGCCGTCAAAATTCCCCGGGATTCCAACCAGTACGTTTGGAATAAAATCAAACTTAGCCGTGATCCGTTATGTTTTTTAATCAGATCTTGTTGAAAACACCGTATACTAATAGTATTGTTCGACGCAATTGCACACTTACTAAAACTAAGATGGGTTGATCCGCACGTGCATGGTGATATGACCTCCTTCGGAAGATCGCGGGATCCACATCAGTAATGAGCCACCGCCCTTACCGGGCAAACCAAACAGACCAGGACGCCAACGATCTAAGTACAGAGTCTTGTCCTCCAGCTCCGGGAATGTAGCGTCCCACGTCGTGACATCACCAGCTCCAATGTCGACCTTTGTATATCCATCTCCACCCGAATGGACTACAACCGTCACATCCTTGGTATCAACACTCTCAAAAATGAGGTGAACAACGCCATCACCCGCGTGTGTGTAGGAGCCGTAGCTACCTACAAATGCTTCATCCACCGTCTTAAGTCCCAAAGCGTCGTGTAATGTGCCATCGTCAATCTCGCCCACATAAGCGGTAGGTCCGCAAATGGGCTGCACGAATTGTGAAGCCATGTACGCGATACCTGTCGGGTCGATCGTTGAGAGCACAACCAGACCCATATTGGCCACTTCCAGCATATAATCGTCTTCTGCCACGTCTTTGCCTTTGTCTGTCTTGCCAGTTTCAATGAGCTGATCAACGATCACTCCAAACGTCTTTCGCAATAGGTCACGCGTCTCATACGCCGCTGTTCTTTTTTTCGAGGCCAGGAGTTCACCCATGCAGTTGTTCGTGACAATTGGGATATCGTTCAGTACAATCGACGACTTGTACACCTTCACTCGGATGTCGTCGACCTCACTGCTCGCATTGCGATATTTGAGGACAGCGCGAGTCACGCGATCCGTGAGACGCTTGAGCTCCCAGCCGCAACTTGAGTTCTTGGCCACTAAATCTTCGAGGTCATCCACTGTAGTCGAGGACTTGTTGGCGATACCGTTGCCCGATAGTAAATTCATGACATTCTCGTCACCATTGGTGATAGCCTGCTTCACGATACCTTCCACGATCACCAACACTGTATCGGCAAACTGAGCGTTCTTAGGGACTGGGAGTCCAAGACAAGTGCAAATGGCAATGGGGAGGTCATACAGAACGACGTCAGCTTGGTAGGCAACCGTAAGCATTTCGGCTGTGTCACCCACGGGAGCTGATGTTTGACGGTAGCGAAGATAATACACCAGCCCTCGGATCACTTCCACAAGATTCCGAACGCACAGTACTGCCCACTTAGCGATCTTGTACGCCGCCAGAAGTTGACCAAACACACCGCCGGTGGCAGCATTTCAAGCCACCGCGACGACCGAGCCGATCTTGGCGAGAGCGGCGAGGACGCAGTCGTCGTTTTGAGGAATACACTCCAAGCCACACGAAATCGGGTACGACAACGGACACCGCGCCGCGCAGTCGTCTCCATCTTTGCTGTACCCCAATGGACAAATGTTTTTGCTGTCGAAGGGCATGGACTTCCGGTAGCATCCGAGAACGCGTTGCCGTGTGGTCCACCAAACAGCTCTCCCAGTGCGATGTCGTCTTCCGCAGAAACCTTCACCGTGCTGCTGGTTTCATTGACCGCTGCGATGCTCGACAACACTGCACCAATAAGGTCCATCTCATCACCGTACCGCCCAAAGAAACCGGCAAGCTGGTAGCCCCTGGGGGTAACCAATTTTACTGTCAATTTGACACTTGGTCACACGTAAAAAAAACGATTGGTCACGTGACCAAAAGTTAGTTGTCACGTTCAAAAGACACCGTTCGGCCTCGCAACAGCAACGCAGGAGGGACACGCTGACGTTGGAGAGAAGCGTGAACTAGCTGTCAGTAGTGGCGACGATGGAGCGAGTCAGCATCCGCCACACATTACGTTCTACAGGTCTGTGTTTCTCCTTTCTCTCTCTTGAAACTTTGTCCTAACTGCACCATTTATATATAAAATCGCTCAGGTTAACCGTGGCACTACTTGTGGACCTAAACTACTGGTGCTGATCATTGTAGTCATCTTTGAGGCAACCAGGAATACACTGAGGAAATGCTCCAACAGCGTGCTGTCGGCCTGGTGTTCAAATGACGGTGACAGACGGCTTTTACAGCGATTCTTTTTGTATATAGATACATATGCGTTCATGTATCTCCCAGCTGAGCTCAACAACTTCAAATAACTGTTGCTGGGGGCCGTAAATGACGAAATGCGCATGAGGATTCTTAAGCTCCGGTACATGTATGTAGTGTTATCAGTGATATTCAAGTCAGTGCCTGTTCATGTAAGTATTTTTCTTGTGTTCTATTTACCATACTGCGTACCCATTAGACTACACCCTCGTACTCGAACGAGTTATCTTGCTCATAGTCCGCATCCGCCTCTTCCAAGACAGCATTTTCTTCGCTTGTAGAAGACACGTCAGTGCTGTAAGGATCCGAAGTCACATCGACGTCGTCTACTTGACCTTCACTATCGCTGCTCGAAGCGGAGTCTTCAATGGCAGCCACACTGGGTAATCTGGGGGCTCTTGGCAACTCAAATCGAACTCGTACTGGTGGAACAGCAATTCCTGATATGATTGCATTACGTTGCAGAACGTACTCACGAGCTAGAATCTCCAGAGTAGTGGCAAATTGCTTCATTGACGGATGAGGCCTGAATCTCTTGTTAAGCTCACGATGGAACCGCTCTAATGGATTGTTGGTTCGACTTACAATATCCCGATTGATTCCGTATACGTTCCAGAACGTTGGGGGAAATGTATCCATCCAGGTACGCTGGAAATATGCCCAAAAAATTCTCCATTTTTGTCGAGAGTAGACTAACTGCTTGGTCTCACAAGTTTTTCGTATTTTAGCCTTTACCCACGCGATTCCTTGCACTGCAATTTTGCTGGGGTCAATGACGGTCAGTACGTCGAACACGCTTGGAGACATAGCCACCTTCGCCTCGAGCTTTGGTATCCCATATCGCTTTAGCTTGCGGCTGCAGGCCTGTTTAAAGTGAAATAAACAGCCAATGATGCGGATATCAGGGAAGAACGCACACATCGCTCCGATGAGAGCGCCCTCAAAGTCGCATACAACGTCCTTCGGAACGAGTTTACTACCAACAGAATCTTGAACGCACTGTAGCAGTTTCAGGTACGATTTTTTTGTCATGGACGTAGTGAGCACATGCACGACAGGAACGTAGAGCTTACTCGATTGGTCATAGACCATAATCGTGACGCATTGCTTGTAGTGGTTAGGAGCACAGCGGAAAGTGCCGTCGATGTACCACGACAAATTCTCGAAGCACAGCAAACTTAACAGCGCGGGATGAGCCCACCCAATTATTCTGTCGATACCGACAGGGTCTTTCTGCGCCTTGATGGCATCATGCCATGAATACTGGAACTGAAAGAAACCCTGATGGCTACCTTTCACCTTCGACAGGGGTGGTTTCTCTATTAAGCTGGTAGGACCACCGGCACGTGTTCCCCGTGCATTTTGAACGCGATTTTCAACGACTTGTTTTGACACTCCACGAACAGGGGGTCCATCTAGCATGTAAAACTTTTGTACAATACCTGTCCAAATTTCCTTTTGTGTCATAGTCGTTTTGGCGGCCAGTTTGTCGACTTCATCCATTACAGCCTCTGAAACGTCGATGCAGTGATCACCGGATCCTGTCTCGGATCCAACAAGACCGAGAATAGCTCGACAGGTATGTGGCTCCATATTCCCGAAGTCAAACGACGCTGAGTCTGCATAGTAAGCAAACTGGGCCCGACAATTTTTACGGTATGAGCTACAACGGTAGGTTATTTTGACAACAGTTGCATTTGCGCGCGTGAAGGCATAGCCCTGGTAATACACCTTGGTACGTCCGTCGCGTGGCTTGGATACTACCTGCGAGCGTACTGAGCTTGCTGTTGATTGTGGGAGCTCAGTAGTAGTGGGGCTGAGGCTACGTGGAGATTGAGTATGCGGCGAACTAGTCGGATTTGCTGAGGATGACGTCGGAGGCTGAGTCGACATCGACTCTATAGTAAGCGATGGCGACGGCGATTCTTGTGCTTCTCCTCTTATGGACGTTGCTGGCAGAGTAGAGGCTACGTCACTGCTGTGCATGGATGTATCTGTTACTGCTACGTCAGACGTGGAGGTACCCCGATAAGGCCGTGATGGACGAGAAGTCGGCGAGAACCTTGTCCTCCCACGACGACGCGATGATTCGACAAGTGACGTATTGAGAGGTGAAGGTGAGTTTGCACCTCTGGGCGGTCTGCGGCGAGTCATCGAGATGTTGTTATAGTCGCTGTCTTTTGCGAGAGTGGGGACGGCCTGCCTTTGAGTCCGGGTGTGCCTCTTCGGGAGAGTCGGAATGGTTTCAAAACTGCCATGAATGACGATTGCTGCTATTACTGCGTGACCTAGTTAAATTGGTCACGTGACCTACGTTTAGCAAGTGTGACCTATTCATCACATATGGGTGTGACCAAGTGTCAAATTTGACCTGTTTTATGGGCTTCGGCCCCTGGGCGCTGTCACCGATCCCTTCCGACACTTTATTGCCCTTGTTCGTTACCAAATTCATGTAAAAAAATGCGTGTGTGACCGCTCTTTTGTCCCCAATGAACATCCATCGTCGTGATGTACTCGCCACGTTCAAGAGTCAACGTGTTTTCCTTACCGCCAGTTCCTCCGTGCGTAAACGTCATCTCCTTCGGCGCTGCGACTTGCACGGTAAGGCCGTCTAGACGCTCACCAGCTCGTATAGTCACCGAGCTGATAACCATACCAGAGGTACACGCCAGTTGATCGGAGAACTGTTCACCGTGTGGTCCACCGAAAGAGTCACTCAGCTGCACAGGCCGTTTATTCGCCTTCGTGTGCACTTCCGACAGACTCCCAGCGATGTCTTCTGGAGCCACAGTGCCCGGGGAGTCCTCAATGGTAACAGGAGCTGGCGCAGGCGTCGGAGCTGGCGTGACGAGATCAATGGACGCCCAGACGGCACCCAGTGTGTCGATCTCCTTTCCATCTTTACCGAAGAAGCCTGCAAGTTGGAATCCTTTCGGTGCAGTCACTGTACTCTTGTCGTCCGTCATCGACCCGCCAGACAGCGAGTTGCCCGCGCTAGTGACGAAATTCACATAGAAAATGCGCGTATGGTCGTCTTTCTTGCCCCAATGCACCTCCATCGACGTGATGTACTCTTTGTCGCCCAGTTTGAGCACTTTGCGGTCACCGCCAGTTCCTCCGTGCGTGAAAGTCTGCGTCTTGGGAGCCGAGATGTCTAAGCTGATACCATCAAGTCGTTTACCGGCATAGATAGAGACCTGACTGACGGTCTGTCCAGAGTTGACGTAGTTCTTGTCCGAGAAGTCCCTGCCGTGAGGCCCACCGAAGCTTTCACTCAGCACGATGGAGTCCTTGACACTCATCCCAGGGGCTTCCGTTCCTGCAGGAGGAGCCACTTGTGCTACTCCTGAGCCGGCTGGAGCCTCTGCCGCCGAGCCTTTATCTGATCCAGGTCCAGAACCTGCTGTGGAGTCAACGGCAGAGCTTTGTGTCGGCTTGTCCGCAGACCCCTCGCTAGATGCTGCTAGTGAGGCTTCGAGTGAGGTCGCTGCCGAGTCTGCTACAGAGCCGTCGCTTGACGTTACTGCCGGCTTCTTGTTAGTGACGGCTTCCGCAGAGCCAGACGCATCGTCTGAAGCTAATGCGGAGTCTTCGGTCGACCCGATTGCAGAGCCATCATCGGATGCTACAGCTGTCTTCTCCTTCTTAGTGGGAGGCTCAGCAGAACCAGACGTATCGGTTAAAGTTGATGCAGCGTCTTCTGCAGACCCGCCACCAGAGTCTTTAGAAGACGCGGCTGCTTTCTTCTTCTTGGTCGGGGTTTCGGCAGACCCAGAAGCTTCAGCTGAGGCTAGTTCAGGGTCCACAGACCCGTCACTCGACGCAACCGCAGTTGCCTTCTTCTTCTTCTTAATGGGAGTACCAGATGAACCAGACGCATCGCCCGACGCACGTGTAGAGTCCTCGCCGGACTCGAGTGCAGATCCTTCGTCGGATGCTACAACTGTCTTCTTCTTATTAATGGGAGGCTCAGCAGAACCAGACGCATCGGTTAATGTTGATGCAGCATCAGAGTCTTCAGAAGGTGCTGCAGCTTTCTTCTCCTTGATTGGGGCGTCGGAAGATCCAGAAGCATCAGCTGAGGCTAGTTCAGCATCCGCAGACCCGTCACTCGATGCAATCGCAATTGCCTTCTTCTTCTTTTTCTTTATGGGAGCCCCACCAGAGCCAGACGCAACGTCTGAGCCAAGCGCTGAGTCTTCAGTTGATGTTGCTGCCACTTGTTTGGTGGGGGCTTCAGCAGAGCCTGAGCCAGCAGCTGACGCTAGCGCAGAGTTCGCTGGAGTAACAGGTTCACCACTACCGGATGCGGCTGCAGATACTGGAGCTGGTGCTGGTGCAGGAGGGACCGAAGTGGGGGCTGGAGCAGGAGCTTCGGCTGATATCCGCGTCCAAATCGCACCCAACTTGTCGATCTCGTTACCGTCCTGTCCGAAGAAGCCTCCGAGCTGGAAACCTTTCGGTGCTGTCACTGTGTTCTTACTCTCCGTCTGCGAACCTGCCGCTACCGTGTTGCCTGCGCTCGTCCCAAAGCTCAAGTAGAAGATCCGCGTTCGACCTTTTTTCTCGCCCCAATGCGCCTCCATTGAGGTGATGTACTCCTCCTTTGCGAGCGTCAAAGTGTTTGCTTTTCCGCCAGAGCCACCATGACTGAACGTGGCTGCTTTTGGTGCTGTTACCTCCAACGAAATGCCGTCGACTCGTTCACCCGCGCGAATCGTTATCGATCCAATTGACTGTCCTGCCGCAACTGATGCTTGGTCCGAGAATTCATTTCCATGCGGGCCGCCAAACGCCTCGCTCAACTGGACCGACTCATCGGCCGAGAACGCCCCGGGCAGGGCCACGAGGGTAAGGCAGACGAGTGTCTGAAATAAAACAACTACCCACGCGCGGGTTATCATACTCGCGACGCTGAGTTTGCTGAAATGGCACGAAGTCGCGTTCATTGAGACTATCGGCCATCATTCGGGACAATCGGTTGTTTACGGCACAATTGAGCGTGGAATTGAGCTAGTACACTGTTCTTTAGCGCTTTTTAACCCCTTGAGCCCGAGGTAGTACCGTACCCGAGTCCCGTTACTGCAACCTAATTACGAGGTCTTGCAGCAACCTACCAGCCTCCCGTACACAAGAAGCAACCCCCAGAAGCAACACACGGCGTAATTTATTTTAGGGCTTCCTTCTTTTGAGAAAAAAAATACCGGAACTGTGAAAGTTCCATAAGCCATTTGACAAATATCACAGTTGCCCAAGAGGAATAGCGGCTGTTGGCGCACACCCAAAATGGACCAAGGCAGCAGCAAACACTTCGACGGCATTTGCTCCGATCAAGTGCCACCGCCACTGTCCCCCTGTGACGGGGTCACACAGCACCTTGCGCTAGAGGAAGTTATCTTCCGAGAGTATACAAACTCTCAGTGAACGGCAGTTCACAGGTCCCCTCTTTAATTAAAGAGAGCGAAGTGACCTAAATAAGGTAGATTGTAAACTGAGTATATTTATAGGTAGGTTAAGTTTGAGGTTAATACAAACTATCAGTTACCTATAGAAATGCAATGTCATTTAACCAATGGTTGGTTTTGAATGACCTTGGTACCTTGTACCAAATATCCCGGAGTATGACATGTCATACTCCTGAAGTGTGAAGTGTCACACTTCATGTAACCAGGGTACACTTAAGGCTACGTACCCCGTTACATCCTCCCCCACTTAGGTTCGGTTTACCGACCAATCAGAATGAAGAGATGTTCGTCACAAACTCTCATTCTCAAAGTCGAAAACCATCGACTCGGCCGCGCGAGCGCGGCGGAGGCTCACTTTACAGTTAGAGCCTCGAGCAGCAACCTTTGCGCTCTTCGTCAAGGTCTCCACTTCGACCGTTAACATGCCTCGTGGCACTGCTAAGAGCGGTGCTAAGACACGCTCCAAGGCTGCAGCCGGTAAGGCGCAGGCCAAGAGCACTAAGCCTCACGGCAAAGGCTCTGCACTTAAGGAGGCTACTCAGGTGGCCTCCGAGGCGATCGGATCCTCGGGTGACGCGGCTGCGGACAAGCGCGCAAGCAGGCGCCGCAGTCCGTCGCCCTCGTCTTCAGACAATCGTCCGAACCCTCGGTTCGTAGAACGTGAGTTCAACTCGGGCAGTGAGGACGATGCCGAGTCCGAGAGCACTCATGATGCTCCTGCGGGCTCTGTGGGAGGGCACAGCCCAGTGCCCAGTGAGCACAAAGAAGACAGCGTGCAGTCGTCCGCTAGTGATCACGGTGATCACAGTCCCAGGACCTCTGTGCGCTCTGAGAGTCCGGCCGTTAAGGCTAAGGGCACTCCCAAAGCCGGTGGCGATGAGGAAGGGAGTCCTCGCAAACGTCTCTCGCTTGCCGAGGGTCTTGCGCGCGCTAAGGCCTCTAAAGCCGAAGGCGCCAAGCCCTCAAAGAAGCGTACCGCCTCTAAGTCTCCACTCCGCGAGGAGAAGGAGACTCGACGCTCCTATCAGAGTCTCTTCGGCTCCTCGGATGAAGAGGAGGAGAAGGAGGAAGAAGAGGAAGAGGAGGGTGCCATTGTTGAGCCCCGGGAGGTCTCGAATGACCTCGACCAGCAGCAGGAGGATTTCCAAGCTGCCCAGCGTGTGCGTGGGGGTTCGGTGGCGGCACCCGTCAGCCAGGGAGCTGCCATCAACTCAAGAGGGTATTGGCCTCCCGAGGAGAGCTCTGGGGCTGACCTCTTCTTAGAGCTTCTCGTCGCTCCTCGTGGCCTTGTGGGCGGCCACACTTCTAGGGGCATCTATGAACGAGCCCTCGTTCAGAAAGAACAGTTGTTCGTCGACAACGTGGAGGCCTGTACGTGGTGTAGCAAAAAATCCTGTTGATCATCCACACGGTGGGTGGTGAAGGTAAAACTAGTGGTGGACGTCCTTCTGTAACACCTCAAGGTAAGATAACTAAAGGAAAACCTACACGTAAGAAAAAAAAAAAAAAATTAATTATTCAATAAAATATGTCTAGAAGTAAATATAAAGGTCCTTTTTTTAAAGTTAATTTATTAAAAAAAAAATGGATGAAAATAACTAATAAAAATTTAACAATATTACCTGAATATAGTAATCATTCTGTAAGTGTTTATAATGGTAAAATATTTATTAATTTAGAAATAAATGATAAAATGATTGGCTTCAAATTTGGTGAATTTATCAATACACGAAAAAAACATATATATATAAAAAAAAAATAAATTATGGGTCAAAAAATTATACCAATTAGTTTAAGATTAAATAAAAAAAAAAATTGGAATTCAAAATGGATTGTTAATGATAATGAATATTCTAATTTATTACATTTTGATTTAGAAATTAAAAAATATTTTGAAAATATTTTTAATTATAAAAATCTAAAATTAATAGATATAAATATAATAAAAACATCTAATAATATTAATGTATATATTTATATACAAAAAAATATTTTATTTTCTAAGGTTATTTAGCCCCAAGAGCGGATATCGTGCACTCTCCAGATTTGGAAGGTGGTGTGGTCAAAGTTCTTGGTGGCCATGAGAAGGACCTGACGAGTGCTGAAAGAGAGGCACTGAAGTCCTTTCAACCTGCGACCAGCAGGAGCAGCGACCCAGTAGAGGAATCGGTCAAGCTAGGCTTTGCTGATCGAATCCTCAAGCGCAGAACGATCATAGCCGAGCCCAACACATACACGATGATGTCTGCCATTCCACCTACCTCCAACAAACTAGAGGCTGTTCAGTATGGCTCGCATGATCTTGCACTACGAGCGCAACCGACGTTTGCTAAACCTCGCAGTCCGAACGCTACTGGACCCGCACGAACAGGACCTCGAACAAGTCCAGTCGCTAATGAAAAAACTGAGGAGCATCACTCAAGCGGCAAAGTTGAGGTAAAGGTTTTACTATTGTATATTTTAAATTAGCTATGTTAATTCTTCTTTTTATTTTTAATAGACTGAAGACACCACTCCGGTCCAAGCTGCGTCAGCAAACCCGTTGTGGGTCGACGTACGCGATGCTGGCTCGCTATCTTGATCTCCGCGAGCTTTTAGACGCGGACGACGAAGATGTGGTCGAGCTACTATCGTCACCAGCCTCTAATCGCAGACCCAAAGCGCTGGTGACGGAAATGGGCGACATCGAGTCAATTTCCTAGAAATTACAGTCGGGCGAGCTTAACCTTCTTGACGCTCGCGATCTGCTGGATGGGCTGCTGGAGATAAAACCAAGTTTCACCACCTATCTCGGTAAAGTTTTTGCTTTTTATTTTTATTTTTTTATGGTAATTTAGCCCCCAGAAGGGAAATCGTGCACTTCTCCCACATTTGGAAAGTGGTGGTGGTGCAAAAGTTCTTGGTGGGCCCTGAGAAGGACTTGAACGAAGTGCTGAAAAAAAAG